CTCTTTCCCTTTCCTTCCTCCCCTCCCTGTCCTTTCTCAGCCACAAAATGAACACCGTCTTCATCTAGACTGAGTGTATACTTCGTGAACTTCTCAATATACATCTCCCTACTATTTCCTTCCTCAATCTGTGAAACACATACAAACTCTGTCTACAGCTTAGACATTATCACTTGCATCTGCCCAGAATGCCCCGGCATGTTAGTGGCTTTCTTTGTACTTAGCAAACCAAAATTGTAATTGCACATTGCAACCATTACAAAGAAATAAATCTTACTTTGTTTTATTTATTCTATAACTGGCAATTGAATATGACACTGATTTAATGGAATAATAACATAGTTTGATACTATATAATTGGTGATGTAATCACGTAAGAGTTTTTGATTGTTAATGTTGTTATTCTTTGTTATATCTTTTTATTGCGACCCGCACTGAATTATCCACGGACACCTCAGTTCCAATCTCTTCTAAAAGGTTATTTTTCCCTGTAATCTACCATGTCCATAATTACTACGCATTTGCTTTGTCTGCTTTCGTACGTGAAGTCTGGGATCTTTCTTAATTCATGGTATAACTTAACAAATATTTGAGGACAATTGTGTTGCACAGGTCTGACCTTTGCTCAGACCTCTGCAACACAATTATCTTCAAATATTTGTTAACTTATATCATGAATTAAGGAAAGATCCTGGACTTCACCTTACGTAAACAGACAAAGCAAATGCGATAGTCATTATGGACAAGGTAGATTATAGGGTGAAAATATACATGATATCAGGAGACAGGAAAATTTAGGTGGCTCTTACAACTCCAAAAACTGTCCCCCCCCCCACCTCGTACCACCTCTAGTCCAGACTGTGTCAGCGTAACTCGGCTTTATCAGACCTGATGTTTATTTTCTTGACTAAGTGCTAGACAGATTTAAAAACTAGGATGTCATTCAAAGCTTTCTCCCTTCTTACCTTTTACTTTCTGGTTATTATTATCAATATGAAGCATTATTTAAAGAGGTGACTGAAACATCAAGAGATGCTGGACTTAAGTGATACAAAAAAGCATATTTATGCCACAAATATGAATTACTGACAGATATGTCATCACAAACAAGGAAAACTGTACAAAACTACTGTACATTGTTAAATATGTCTAATTCATAGAACAGTGTGTAAAGCATGTTTTATTTTTTAATTTTCTGATAGATGAGGTTTGGTGAGTCAAGCTGTGCCGTACCTCCTGTGGTGGTGAAGGAAGGTTGCTCAGCAAGCGTGGTGAGTTCATCAAGAACTGGCGACTGCGTTATTTCTTTCTCTTGGAAGATGGCAAACTTCTTGGCTTCAAAACCAAACCCAAACAAGGCCTCGAGGATCCACTAAACAACTTCACAGTGAGAGTTAGTGTTATTTGCTCTATTGTTATACAGCAGTGTTACATTCTTAGAGGTTACCCCCAAAAATAAAAACTAACATGAAGTCTATTTAATATCTTTTACAAATTTTGGTTTTAGCCTGAGTTTTGAGGAGCATACTCGGTAACTAACCTGTTTAATATTAACGTTCATAAATAATCTCTCACAATTTTTTTTTTTAACACTTGCCGTCTCTCGCCAAGGTGGGGTGGCCAAAATCTGGAAACACGTTACCATCACTCATTCAATAACTGTTTTGCCAGACGTATGCAGATATCACATATAAAATGAACATCTGCACCTCAGCATCTCCACTCCAGCATCACAGTGTCGTCTGAGTGGCTAGTGTGCACCCGCAACTCATCCTGTGAGCAGTACAGCAAAAAAAAAAAAAAAGTATTAGAGGTGGCCTGGTGTAACGCTCTCGCTTCACACGTGAGGGCCTGGTTCGATTCCCAGCCAGAGTAGAAACATTGGACGTGTTTCTTTCCACCTGTTTGTCTATGTTCCCCATCAGTAAAATGGTACCTGGGTGTTAGTCGACTGGTGTGGGTCGCATCCTGGGACACTGACCTAAGGAGGCCTGGTCACAGACCGGGCCGCGGGGCGTTGACCCCGGAACTCTCTCCAGATACTCTAGGTCACACTGGACTTTCATCAGTCATCACTGAGCATTGTTACATCACTAGAAAGAAATATTAGACACTTCATATTTACAATTATTTTCAAATAGTTGATGTACATAATATAGTAATGGAATACAATTTAAAAAAATATATTTTTTCAAGAAGAAATATTGGTTATAATTAGGTCGTAATCTAGAGAGCAGGCACTGAACTTCCTACTTTCAACACTCAAGTTTGGCAAATTAGTTTAGCTGAATCACTTAAATGTTACTTTGCTCACACTTCAACATGCCAAGTATAAAAAACAAAACTGCGCCATTCATTTCGATCTAGCACTCTCCCAAACCTGCTTAATGCTAAAGCCCTTTAACGCTCATTACCTTCTTTAACCCACTCCCTCCAACCTCTTCCTTCTATTCAAATTCAAAGTTTATTCTCTATAAAGATTAAAATGTTGAATTTACAGAATTTGGTTGTTGTGTGGTTTACGTGTAGTTAAATAATGATTACAGAGTGTACCACTAGAACACCTAGCAATGGCTAGGCATTTCGGGCAGACTTAGTTTAATTCTTATTTAAAATATTACAAATTATGAGGTAAGTTGGTATTATGGCTAAGTGACTAAATACTAGTTTGTGAGTTTAGCAATGTGAATGCTTTGTTTTGGCACAGTACATAGTTTCAGTATTGGAGTATCATAGGATTCATTATTTTAAGATTGAGATTAATATTTCTGTTTATGGTCAAATGGGTGAGTGAGTGTAAGTGTGAACCACCAGTGGTATTCGTGTAGTTAGTTGATGGGTTTAAATCAGGAGATAAGATGTTTTCTAATGGTAGTTTTGAAGGTGATGAATGTGTCTGCAGTTATAGAGTTCTCAGGTAGGGTGTTCCCGATTTTAGGGCCTTTGACATACATTGAATTTTTGTAAAGGTTTAGTCGGACATGGGGAATGTCGTAGAGATGTTTGTGTCTGGTGTTATGCCTGTGGGTTCCGTCACAACTATCAAGAAAGCGTTTTAGGTCAAAGTTGATATTGGAGATTAAGGTCCTGTAGATGTAGATGGCGCAGTAGTAAGGTGGATGAAACTGAACAGGGAGTAAGTTTAGATCTATGAAGAGTGGGGGGGGGGTGTTGCCAGGGATGGGATTTAGTGATTATTCTTACTGCAGCTTTTTTTTGGGTTATTATTGGCTTTAAGGTGTGTTGCTGCAGTTGATCCCCAAGCACAAATAGCATAGGTGAGGTATGGATAAATGAGTGGTATAGTGTGAGAAGGGCATTTTGCGGCACGTATATCGTATCTTGGAGAGGATCCCAACTGTTTTGGATACTTTTTTGGTTATGTGTTGGATATGGGTGCTGAAATTCAGGTTGTCAAGGTATGGGCCTAGGAATTTGCCCTCATTAAGTCTGGTAATTAGTGTTGTCGATCTTAATGTTAATTTGTGCATCTCCTGCTCTGCTACCAAACATAATATAGTAGGTTTCGTCAGTGTTAAGCGTAAGTTTATTGGCTGTCATCCAAGTCGATATTTTGATCAGCTCCTCGTTAACAATGGTGGTTTGGGGGTGGCAAGATTAGGGTGAGAGCAGGGACCAAGGACACTTCCCTGCGGAACTCCAGTATCAAGTGGCCGTGTTGTTGATGCTGTTCTTTAATGGTAACATACTGATACCTATTAGTAAGGTAAGATTTGAAATAAGCAAGCTCATGGCCTCTTATAGCGTAATGGTCAAGTTTGTGGAGTAGGATGTCGTGGTCTACTGTGTCAAAAGCTTTTCTAGGTCAAAAATTCCTATGGATATTCCTTATTTTCCAATGCTGTGTAAAGCAGATCTAGCATTTTTATGATTGCATCATTAGTGCTTTTATTTTCCTAAATCCAAATTGGCAGGGGTTGAGTATGTTTTGTGCTGTTATAAATGAATATAGTCTGCTGTGCACGAGTTTCTCAAAGATTTTGGATAGCAATGGTAAGTTTGATATTGGCCTATAGTTGTTTAAGTCTGTAGGGTCACCACCTTTATGTATGGTGTAACCCTTGCCATTTTGAGTAGTTTCGGTAAGGTGCTAGTTTCTAGGACTTGTTAAAAATTAATGAAATAGCATGCGAAAGGATATGGGCCCCCTCGCTTGTACAGTAATGGTGGGACATTAGACAGATTCCCCGAGTTGTTTTTAAGTGACTTTATAATCTCGGTGACTTCCGAGGGCTCAGTTGGTGCAAGATAGAAGGAATTTGCGAAATTCCCATCTAGGTAGTCCCTGGCATGGGCATTAGTAGTGGGATTTTATTGGCGAGATTAGATCCTATGGTTGAGAAGAAGTCGTTTATCTTGTTAGCTGTGTCAGTGGGATGTAGTGGTGTTTCATTAGGTTTAGTTAGGACAAAAATTCTTGGTTTTTTTAGTTTGTGGGTCCCTAGAATCTGAGAGTGTTTTCCAGGTCTTTTTTATATCTCCTCTAGTGTCTGTGAATCTACTGGAGTAGTATAGTTGTTTGGCTTTTCTTTATTACTTTGGTGAGAACTGATGAATAGTGTTTAAGAATATCTTTGTGTATTAAGCCCTGTCTATATTGCTTTTTATATTGGTGTTTCTTGTCAAGGGATTTCAGAATGGTGCTGGTTAGCCATGGGCAACCAAGCCGTTTGTTTGTGATCTGTTCGTTTTTATAGGACAATGTTGTAATAGTCTAAGTAATTTGTTAAGAAAAATGTTTGTCCGGTCATCAATACGATTGGCCTTGGAGAAATTCTGTAGGTCAGTCAACAATCTCTAGGTCAGTTTGTGAACTTCCTTATTGAGGCCTCGTCATGGAGTCTAAATGAGACTTTGTTGTATTCAAGTGGTGGTTTACTAATGTTTGTCAGGAGGAAGGTGGGGTAGTGGTCTGTAGTGCTATCTGTGATTATCCCTGATTTAAGGGGGGGTAGTATATTGGTCCATATGTGGTCTATTATGGTTGCACTTGTCTCAGTGAGCCTGGTTGGTTTAGTTATTGTTGGTATGAGAAGTGTGTTGTTCATATTGTTGATGAAATCAGTTACAGGCTGATCATCTAGTAAGCCAAGGTTGATGTTGAAGTCTCCAGCTAAGAGAAGGTGGTGCTTATTCATTTGTCTGTTTGTTATTAGTGACTTTAATTTCTCACTGAAATTTGGATGTTTGTGTGAGGTATCCGGTAAATGGCACCGATTGTTTATAGGTGTCTTAAGGTTTTTTAACAGTAAAATTACCAAAAATGTATTCCCCATATTCATCACTAAAGCAAGTGGTTGGTCATCCTAATTTGCTTCTTCCCCTCTAAATGCTCCATCTTATGAACTCTTCTTCAGTCTTCTCAATTACATTTTGATACACCACATCGTAAGATAATTTCTATACTTCGAATTTTGCGCAAAATATTAACTCGTTGCTCTCACTCATGAGATCTTTCTCCGCCTTCCTCCTCACTGCACTAGTTTAAGTACATTCCCATATCAGTAAGTGTTGGAACCATTGTTCTCTAGTTCATTCATTTTTTCCTTATTTTAACGTTTCCACAGATGCCTCAACTCGTCACTTGCATTTTTTCCCATAGCCCACTAAAGATCACCAGGTATACGCAGACACATCTGCAGAGATGTCCTCTCCCTAACATTGTTACATTTATCTTCACACACCCTCAAAACCTGATACCATTCTTTCATTCAAATCAAATAAAATCAAATTTATTGTCTATTAACATTACAGTGTAGTCTGCCCATAATGCCATGGCATGATAGTGGCTCTCCTTACACTGCAACGTATTATAATTACAATAATCTCAATGTACTCTTGCAAGGAAATAAAAATTTGTATTTGTAATGTGGGGTTTACATATTTTAAAATACTGGTTACACTGTGTGGTTTACATATTATAAAATACTAATTACAGAGAGGGCCACTATCATGCCTAGCATGACTAGGCATTTCGGGCAGACTAAGAATAATTCAAACTCGATATTAAAGCTCCTATATTGGAGTATCTCAGGCAAACTTATGACTAGTTTAAGATTCATTAGGTAATAGTTTTATACGTAATTCTAATGTATACAGCCAATTGAGTGAGTGTAAGTGTATATTGGAGGGAATCACAGATATCGTGAGTAGGTCTAGTTTGTTTTGTGTGAGTGTATGATACAAGAGAATAGATGGTTTTCATGTAGTTAGCTGACGGTGGGGTGTGTCAGGGAGATAGGATGTTTTTTAACTGTAGTTTTGAAAGTGATGGTTGATTAAAGACCCTTCATGTACATTGAATTTTTGTATAGGTTTAGCCAAACACGAGGAATGTCAGATTTTTGCCAGGTGTTGTGCCTGTGGGCCCTA